ACGAGGCAGTTTATATGAACTCTGATTTTTGTATTCTGCTCTCTTCCTCTCTCTGTCTCTCTCTCTCTCTCTCTCATGTTAGTATGAAATTCCGTGCTTCGTGAGCACAGTTAATCACGTTACCACGCGCCTCGGTTTCCCTCTTTTATCGAAATGAAACGCTTGATTCCGTTGAAAAAAAAAACAAAAACCAGAAAAAACGTTTTGCGAATTATACCTTTTTAGTAGCTAGATTTTTTAACGAATAAAAACGTTGATGCTCTTTCTCTATTCACATGTTCTTTTTTTATTTTATTTTATTTTATTTTTATTAATGTTTTAATTCCAACCGAGAGTAGTAATACGTTGAATTAAATAACAAGCTCGGAATTTTGTTGCAGCTTGAATAACGTATATAATATGTTATAGTATTATTATTATTATTATTATTATTATACAATTATAATACTTTAAAAGAGAAAATGATTATTCCTAACTATGTTTAGGGAACATCAAGAATACATCTAATTACAGTCAGGTTTTCAGTACACGATATACATACATTGTTCGATCGCGGCTGCGTATTGTTAACTAATCACCAAGCGGAACGAGTTCCAGGTCAGTGTGTCAATCCTTTCATCGATTCGGTTGGACTATTGAAAATTTCGTTCAATTCGGTCGGTAGCATTTGATTACATGTATTACGTTGTCTTTGTCATATACAGATGAGATCCTATACTTTGTATGTATGTTTCATCGCATTCGTGATGATCCTCCTATTACACATATACTATCCGTAAATTTATTCCAGATCCTCATACAAGGTGATACAGAAGTTTATTTATGTTGCAAACATATTGAACAAACATTTTTCTTCTTTTTTTTTTCTGTTCTTAAATTTTATTTTTACGTATTTGTAAATTATAGAATTGAAATCGTATCAACGGTAGAGATATAACGTATACCAAAAGATTGTTTGCGTTAGATCAAATTAAATAAATTTCTTTTATCAATCCGACCTTCTCTCATGGTGGATCATTCTGCAATCGTGGTTAACCTAGATAGATGAACGTTATGCAAAAAACGAGATGCCCGTACGACCATTCCGAATTTTTCCTTTCGAACAATGGGATAATTGAGCTTATGATATATAAAATTAATTAAACTTGGTTGATTTTTTCATTGGCTTACGTAGATAAGAAAAGGAAAAAAATTGAAAAGCAGTAAAGGATAGGATACTTGCGAATAAGATCGAAAGTCATGCGTTCGAGTCGGTCATTGACTTTTACAGGATTCTTCCGCTCTCACGCGGTAAAAGTTGACGAACCAGAGAATAACTTTGGTTGTAGAAGTGTTGATGTTATTGGTATGGTAATATGGTAATATTGGTGCTGGTGCTGGTGATGGTGGTAGTGATGGTGGTGGTACCGTTGACATTAACAAGTTAAAGAACCCAATGTGTGTAAACTCAAAGTACCACGCGGTACCGAGTACATAAGAGAGACGAAAAATAGGTAGGACCGGTATATAATACACCAAGTCCTAGTCCTGCATGATCGATTCTCCACTTGCGTAATTCTAGCCATTACCCAGAGACACCAACTCGTGTACACCTGAACCGAATCGATACCTGAATCATTCGACCGTACAAGATTACTCCTTTCGGTGATCTCAAGCCGATAATTATAGTTTACTGCACAGGATAATACCTTGTTTTTCTCTTACTTTTTCTTTGTTTCTTTTTACATAGTTTTAGTATTACTTGATTGGGAATGTTATTTTAAAAATAACAAATAAATTCAAAAATCAAACTCAAGGTTAAAAATAACGTATTTTCCAATATTGATAACACTAATGATTTAATTAAATACAATCAAATATAAAAGATTACAAATTAAACGCGTATATTTCTGATTAGACCAATTATAATTATTACGGATATCTCGGAATTAATTAATTATTTATGTTTAACATATTACAATTAAATCATAAACGGTTAACATAGTCTCGGCGAAGTAGTATAATAATTTATATATTGTGTAGAAAATAAACAATCGTCCTTTATGTTTAAATTAATTTTTTTATATTTGAATCGAATGTATTATTTTTTCTTTCCGGGAAAGTAAAAAAGAGAAAATAAAATATTAAAAATACGTTTTCGCGTGTAGGTACTTGAACAACATTTCGGAATAAAAAACGAAAAAGCAAATGAGAGAGAGAGAGAGAGAGAGAGAAAGAGAAAAGAAAGAAACAAAAATTTGTATTCTAATAGCTCGTTGGGATATAAAAGTTACGTTGGCCTGTGTCGCAACGATAAATAATATCTATAGGCGTACCATTCGAAAGACCATTCCTACTCGAGATAAGTGCTTCGCGTACGTATTCGAAAGTACGTCAGCCGGTGTAGAGAGAAAAACCGTGAACTATGTGCCATGCGGAGCGCAACGTGTTACACACTACTACACCGCGTGTGCTCGGTTTCTTTGTTGAAACGTTTTCATGCTTACGGACACCTGCATTCGAGCACGTTCGAATCACCTCTTTCGAAACGATCGTTTCAGTGTCGAGATTTCCATAATTAGAAAATACTCTAGAGACTTTTGATAACGGAGAGTAGTGATACATAATATGTAAGCACGTATACATATATACATACATATACGTGTATACACATATCCACCCAAGTTTCAAGGATTTTTGTTACGAAGACAAGCTTCGATGATTTAAAAATAACTAATTGCAAAACACTTTTTTTTGCATTAAGTTGATCATTCGATTGCAAACTTTTTTTGCTAATTCATTGTTTATTCGTAGAATGATATAACATGCTAAAACAATTATTACTTAATTTATATTCTACATACCTTCAGATTAGACAATAAATTAAGATACTTAATATATATAATTAATAAATAATCATATTATATTATGTATAAT